GGACAATAAGACTATAACTGATTAATAATTATAAATATATATATATATATTTTTTTTTGCTTCTAAAATTGTCCAGGAAAGTAAATTTGATGACCTCAAAATGAATAAAAAAAAGGAGTATTTTTGTATAAATTAAATGGATTTAGAATCGTGAACAGTTAAACACTTTTCAATTTTCTGTACATCGTAAAAAATTCTGTACTTTTAAAGAGTCAATTTATAGTTTAAAAATGTTAAAATTAAAGCTTTTACCTACATAATATATTAAGGGAATAAATTTATATTTTATGTTTCAGTAGAACCATTACGATGAGTTTCATTTCCGGATATAAAAACAGATAATGATTATCACCCTATCTGAAGTCACGAAAACGTGAGTTCGACTTCTAATACGACTTTTTAAGAATGATTTTTTTTATTGCTATTATCCTTCAAATATAAGTTACTTTATAAAGAATTGCAAAACTATTAATTAATGATAAACATATAACAAAGAAATTAATAATGATAAATTCGTGCTACAGGATAATCAATAGGAAAAGAGAAAGAAAAAATGTGAAAAAATAAATATTTCCTGTAACATATTTATGAGATGATTAGAATAATGATCTAAAAAAATAATAATAATAAATTATTCGCGTATGTAGGATGATCAATAACAAAAATAGAATTTTTTAAAATTATGCGTATCATCATTATATTTTTAGGATGATCAATAAAGAAAAAATAATAATTTAGATAATTATTTAATTTGTCTGATGATGATCTATATAGAAACAATATATATATATATATTTTTCCATAAAATATCATCCTGTTATATAAGATGATCGATCAGTTGAGAGACGAGAAAAAAATTGATCTTTTTCTATGATATAAATCGTTATTAAATCTGTAGGATAATTAAAGATAAAATAAAAAGAAATCAAATTGTGAAATGATATAAATTTATCATTATTATATTTTCAAGATGATGATTAGAATGATAGTCGAAAGTAAAAATAAGTTCTTTCAGCTTCATTGAACGTTACTAGATTTATAAATGCTTAATATAAAAAATTACAACTTATAAATTTATATCACAGATCATCATTGAATGTATGATGATAATCATGATGATAAGCACGTCTTGATTTTATTAATACGGTCGAACCTGCAATAACGGTCATCTCTAAATAGCGGTTATTTTTTTTTTCAAGAATTTTGTTTTTAACCTGTAAATAACGGACATTTATTATTTCACGTTAATGCCGTTGTTTAGAGGTTTGACTGTATTTAGGGCTTATATATGTTTATAGATTAATCGATAAGTAAACTGATGATTGATACAAAAAATAAGAATAAAAAAATATAAATCATCAATAAATTTATATGATGATCAGAGAAAATATCAATTTTTAAACGTGCGCGACTAAAAATCGCTTGTCGTGTCGCGCATTATTTTATTTATAAAATACGGTACATCTGCTTAATATTTTCATATAAATAACTTATAAAATAAGAACGCTTATAAATAATCAGATATCTTTATAATCCTAAAATAAATGATTTAAAAATATATTTTATAAAAATGTTCTTTCAAATCAATCCTGAGATATGAGATTATAAATTGAGGTTTTAGAAAATACTTTAAGTTACTATCCTTCATCAGGATAAAAATATATTTGTGGGTCTTCGAGTATCTATTTTCACAAATACTGTGTTCCATATTCCATTTTTTTTTAATGTTAATCTCTTCATCATTTTTTACTCTCACTTCACTTAATCCTGAATGATAAATCCTGATAACAATAGTTGCAGTTATAAGGATGTAAATTGGTATTAAATATCTATAAAAATGTAATTTAATATATAAAAATAAATAGATTTTTCCTCTATTTTTTAATTCTTAATTTTTTTTACAAGTAATTTATGAATATAAACCTTATTAAAAAGTCAGAGACTGTTTATTTCTTCTCAATTAAAAATAATTAATTAATTAAAATTTTAACTAATTATTATTATCTTATAAATAGAAA